AAACAATTGATTATGTAATACAATAAATACATTTTGTCTAGATTTGTGAAAATCACTATCATTTTTATATTAGTTTGCAACTAAAATTCCATTAGTTTTAATACCTTATAATTGACAATTTAATACAAGATTCTCCATAAGTTTTGTTGTTTTAAAATTTTGGAAGCAAGTTTAACGTGAATCCGATTAAATTTTATTATGATTATTAGAAAATTCAAATATTGAAAACACTAAATATTCTGCATACGTGTGATAATGGTTTATCATAAGATACTGTTAGAAGTTATTAAAAAAAAAATATATATATTAGTTATATGTAAGTACACACAATATTTTACTTTAACATAAATTATCATTTTTATATACAATAAAATGTTAATTTAAATTAACACCAAACTAAACATGCTAACAATTYAGAATACAGCTCCTAAGATGTTGACGTCTACGCCATCCTTGGTGGCTTCAAAAAACCCCCAAAAAAATGGACACTGATGCTTCCAAATCAGGAGAAGAGGTTGGTTTCGCAATCATATTCGAAAATTCAAATATAAATTACAGACTCCCAAATACTAAATAGGTGTTCATTCCTCTTTGCTGAAGGAATAGAAATCCTAAATGCCATCGAAAAATTTAATAATATTAATTATACTAATTCATAGTTATTTTAGGCGTTTAAAATTTGAATTTTTTTTGTTTATAGTAGATAAATACACGTTTAATTTGATTACCCATTGTCAGGAAATTAAATATATATTTATCAAAATTAATTACCTAATAATCATTTATTCAAGTTTATATTTTATTTTCCGGGCTCCAATATAATATTTTAATATTTTATTTAAAACTTTTACAACCAAATTAAAGAAGGTTCCATTTAATTAAATTTATGATTTTGGTTTGATATTATAAATTAAACGAATCAATGGAATCGAATTTATCTTTTGTAAAATCAAATTCTAAAAAAAATAATGTCCAAAAAGCGTTTGTTAAGAAACTTTAGTTCTAAGCATTAAGAACCTGTTCCTACAGAGGTGCCCGCAAATAGGAGCCAGTGGGTGCTATTGCGCCCACTGACATTTTTTTAAAAACAAAAAAATCATTGTGCTCACGGGATTCATAACTTTATTTTATAAAATTTTGGCGTGCATAAAAAACCGCATTAATGAATTACCTACAAATTACATAAAACAAAAATAATATTTTTGATTATTTCAATTYTACCAAAATAACACAGTGTTGTTGTGAGTACGACAATTACCAGGAAACTCAAAAAAATATATAACATATTATATACACTATACATTCATCCACTGACACATCTTGTGTCTGTGTAGTGTATTTTGGACTAAATGTAAGACATTTATCATTTCTATAATACTATTTGGTTCATATTTCATGCAATATTAATAATAATACATATCTACCTATGTTTAAAATTATATTATAATTTGTAGTATTATAATTTTTTTCGTATTGCATTTGGAGTTAAGTTTATTACGATATATATAGCCAAATACATAATAATGTGAATACATAAAATGCATTTAATTTTGCACCCGCTGAGCTGATTTTCAGCGGGCACCCCCGTGTTCCTCCCCTGAATTTCCAATAATCTGAAGGGGCGCTACTAATATGTAAAAACAAATGGAAATGGAAATACAT